GAGGTCGCCCTAGGATACATTGAAAGCTAATGGCCAGTCCACTACCATGAATTCAATGACCTTGGTCACCTCGTCGAAGTCACCCAGTGTGACTAGAAGCGAGATCGTTTCCTTGGGGATCAGGTGATCCCTTGTAAAACCATATAGGGGAATGAAGGCGAGCTTTAAGTCGGCCTCATCTAATTTCATTCCTTCAAAAACTCGCTGGAACAGGATGTTCATAGCGCTTCCGTTATCCACCAACATTCTGTGGACGTCGCAGCGCCCTATTTGGGGCGTGATGATGAGAGCATCATCATGGGGATGATGTAATCAGACTGTGTCTTTTTCAAAGAAGGTGGTTTCCTCCTCTCTGCGAACTTTGATGGTCATTGCGTCGTGTTCATCACACGGATAGGCTCGTGATGGGCCACGCGAGCATATCTTTCTTGGGCATCTCACAAGTTCCCTCCGAGGTGTGGTCCCCCAAAGATTATCCCCACACTACAGATACCCTTGCGATCACGACGCTTCTTACCCTTTTCCTTTCGATTTTTCTCCCTTATAGGAGCAGAGTTATCAACATACTCTTTGAAATGTCCCTGCTTGATAAGGTCTTCGATTGTCTGCTTGAGAGCTTGGCACTCATCGGTGTGTGATGCCCATTGTCCCGATGATAACGACAGTACTTTTTACTGTTTCTAGCTAAAGGGGGATTTTTCATGTGCTCAGGTTCTCCGAGCAGGCTGGCCTCTTTTGATTTATCAAGAATGGTCGAGATAGATGCATTCAAAGAGGTATATTGACTCTTGTCGCGATCGCGATGAGAAACTGGAGCATAAGACTTCTTGGGCTCAAACCGCTGCTTCTTTCCTTTTCACTGATCATTGTTAGCCCATCGGCGATCAGCCCTCCTATTTTCCCCCCGACCTGGCGTATTGCCTGAAGTGTCGCGGTAGTGGCAGTAGAGTGCCGTCACAGAGTTCTCAATATGGAGGTATTTCTCCGTAAGACTGTAGAAGCGGGTGAGGGAAACATCGTCCTCTGATTGCAACTCTTTCCACATATCTGTCTGTGGACGAACTCCCACGATGATGAGAGTCCGAACGGACTCTTCGGAAGTGTGAGCTACTTTATAGAGTTCCCAGTGGAACCTATCGATGTAAGATTGGAGGGATTCATCCTCTCTTGCCTTATGTTGATGAGGTAGCTCAAAGGCATTGAGAACTTCCTGTTCACTTGGAAGTGTCTCAGGAATGTCGAGCTCATCTGATTTCACGAGCTGATCGATCCCGTCGGGAGTGACCTAAACCGTCGTTTGGCATGTGAAGTTTGCCAAGTCAGAAACTTGGTGAAGTTCCATCAGGTCGTTGAATTTGTTCAAATGATCCTGCGAATCAGAATTCCCATCGAACGCCCGCATATCGGGCATTCTGAATTTGGATGGTAGAGGGGCGGCTAACACAACTGGAGAAAAGGGAGACGCTTCTGTGACCTGCCCTCGCTCATTTTGCTGAGCTTTTAGCTGATCCAGAGCTCGCTGTAGCTCCTCAATTTGAGGTAGCGAAGCCATCTAGGGATTGCTTTCCTTGACGAAGGTTCGACCCTCGCGATTGCGGTTAAGGAAAGTCTAAAGGTCAAATTCCTCCTCGCATCAACCGGCATTTCTGGCCGCTCTTGACACACACTGGCTAGAGTCATGCGATGGCGCTGACTAGTCCGTGGATGGTGGGAACTTCCTGTGCGACGACAATTAGAGTCGTCATTTTGGCGATCATGGGAATCTCCCCGCCTTGCACTTTTGTGGGAGTGCTCGCGCGACATGGCACGGGACAGCTCGGGTCACGACATGTCACCAAGTCTGCGCGCCACAAGTATTCTACCCGAGGTGCGATCGGTATTCGCTGGTCCCTCAAAGCCTCTAGGCCCGTTGTTCGCCACCTGTTTTCCCTTCAATTGACGCGTTGCAGTACGCACAGCACATGCTATCGCCTTTTTCCTCGCTTTCATGCAACATGCAGGTGTTTTTAGCAGTGGCACCGCCTGATTTGATTCGGGTGGCACGACCCGATCCAAGTGGTCCAGCCTTTGGTTGACCGTTTGGAGAGTACTGTTGAACCTTTCCAGGTAGCTCATGACGATTGGATCAAGCCGTGAGCTTGAAGGGATATCCCCTACAAGATTTTGCGGGACTAGGGGAACTTCAAAAGAAGTATCCTCTTGTACCTAGGGGATCTCTTCCTCACCATGATTAGGTCGCTCAGATTCGAATCGGCGAGCCATTTGCTGTTGGACCGATTAGTCAGAGATTCTCCTGATGAAGGACGAATACTAAATCGGGCCCTCCTTCTAGCGCCAAACTGTTGATGCGTGATTTTGACACCAACTAAATGCATGTGAGAAATACTGAGCTGACTCAGAAGACACACGTGTATAGGGGTATTGAACTGAATAAAAAATGAAGAACGGTGTTTAAAGTAAGCGAATCCTACGTCCACTGATATCGTATTAATTTATGAAGTCAGGTCGCATTCAGCGAGCTGACTTACAAGAGATTATAAGAGAGAGAGAGAGAGAGAGAGAGAGTATATATGCTATTCTGGAGAGAAATTAGCCAATCCCACAAACGGGAGAGGAACTCTCAATTTATAGTGAGAAGAGTTAAGGTAATGATTACTAAATCAGGGAGTGGGTTAGATTGTCATGCAAATCCTTCCTTGCATCCCGTTGTTCACATGCTCGAGTGATTTACTCGACATTTGCAGGGATTGGACACGTGGATTGTCTCCAGCCTTTCACCAGCCTGGCGCACACCTACTGCATTAGCAGAAGCATGCCGCTTGCATCAACGTGCGACGTGGCTGTGTCTGAATGGCTGTAGGACTTACCTAAGCTCTAACCGCTTACACTGACAGGGCTCTGCATCAGCCCTACTTTTTCAGGCATAACAAGTTTTTTTTTTTTTTTTTGGTAGTTCGACTTGGATGATTTTTCTTGTGTGATATTTTTTTTTTTAAGGATATTATTTTAAAATTATGTAAATAATTAATTAATGAAGATTGAAAAGACAATCAATTATGGGTTATTTAGTATCACTTTTGATATAAATAATACTACACAATGTGTATACAAAATGATATGTCATACCATGATTGGAAGAATGAATATGTGAAATTAACTTATTAAATAAAGAAATATGATATATCAATAAAAGAGCAATGTTACATAACTTAATAAGAGTAGAGTTGTATTACTATTGAAGCAAACAACATGTTCCCACCCAAAGATTACTGAAACAACAAGTTTCCACTTCTAGTTTCATTTATTTCATATTTCCACCTTTAAAATGACACCATTAGTGATAGTGGAGCTTTAACACTAGTGCAAAGGGTACTATTATCAAACTGCCCTTGTACCATCCCATTCCAAACTACCACCACAGTCATCCAAACCGCCACCGCACTCGGCCAAACCACCACCACAACTGGCCAAACCATCCCATTCCAAACTACCACCACCACCATAGTTGGCCTACCCTACAAAGCAACACACAAAGGCCCCCATCCACCTCTCCAAAACAACACCCACCATGAAGCAAATAAACCCAACACAACACATGCAAATAAACCTAGTAGTGGGACTTGGTTGGGGCAATTTATCGAGCAAGTAGTGGGTGTTGTGCAAGCTTGGGCGGTGGGCGAATGGGAGACTGGTGGGGTTGTCTGCGGTGAGGGAAGCTTCACAAAAAATCACACTCCCAAACAGAAATCAACATAAATCAAATTCAACCAAACTTCGATTCAATCACACAACCAACTAAATCAAACTCCGACTCAATAAAAATTCAAAGCAACACAATTGTAGGCGATGTGAGATTGGCATGCGACAAGCGGCGGGGTTCGATCGATAGGCTTGATGGTGGCAATGTGCGATGGCTTAAGGGCTTTCAGGTTGCGATGTGGGGTTGCACGACATAGGGTTGTTTTCGGTGTCATCGATCTTCAGCATGCAATTATTTGTTGTTTAATTATTGGGGGTGGAGGATTTAGTGCAATTTGGCAAGTGCGATTCCAGTTGAATCACATTCAACTAGCGATCTCTACTTCCTTCTTGCCATTATTTTATAACAAATAATGGTAGAAGGGAGGCAGAGAGAAGGTGGAGAGAAATTTAAGATGTGGGGAATCATAGCTATTAAAATAAATGAAATGATGTTATTTTAAGGGTTGAAATCTATAATTTATAAAAACCAAAGGTGAGAACTTTCCATTTCGCTAAACCTTGAGTAGGGACATGTCGTATAATCTTACTCTTATGATAAATACTCATTTTATGACTTGTATTGATATTTTATTTTTGTTTTAGTAAGATTAATTAAAACCTCATTAATATCAATTATCAAATGGTGATTAATGTCCAAAATTTATGTATGATTTATGATTTGATGTTTACACTCCACCTACTTGGAATTGTAAAAACCATTTCAATTTGAACTTTATTAAAGTAAATTGGGAATTAGAAGAGCAAGAGCCAACCCTTGAAAATCGAAATAGCTTATATTATTTCATAAGTAAATATTTTAAACCCTAGGCTAGTTTACGCTCAACTTCACTTCCATTCATTCAACTTAACTTATGGCTGAATTTTTGCAAAACCTACCCCAACCCCAGCTCCCAACTCCGACCCTGGCTGCGGCTCCCGATCCTTCTCAACCTCTGCCCCAATCAGAGCCTCCTGTTCCTTCTCAAGTTGTGGCTGCGGCTACAGTGGCTCCGGCTCCGGCTCCGGCTCTGGCTCAGTCAGTGGCTCCCGTTCATTCTCAAACCTTGGCTCCAGTTGCTGCTCAATCTTTGGCTCCGGCTCNATTAATTAAAACCTCATTAATATCAATTATCAAATGGTGATTAATGTCCAAAATTTATGTATGATTTATGATTTGATGTTTACACTCCACCTACTTGGAATTGTAAAAACCATTTCAATTTGAACTTTATTAAAGTAAATTGGGAATTAGAAGAGCAAGAGCCAACCCTTGAAAATCGAAATAGCTTATATTATTTCATAAGTAAATATTTTAAACCCTAGGCTAGTTTACGCTCAACTTCACTTCCATTCATTCAACTTAACTTATGGCTGAATTTTTGCAAAACCTACCCCAACCCCAGCTCCCAACTCCGACCCTGGCTGCGGCTGCCGATCCTTCTCAACCTCTGCCCCAATCAGAGCCTCCTGTTCCTTCTCAAGTTGTGGCTGCGGCTACAGTGGCTCCGGCTCCGGCTCCGGCTCTGGCTCAGTCAGTGGCTCCCGTTCATTCTCAAACCTTGGCTCCAGTTGCTGCTCAATCTTTGGCTCCGGCTCCGGCTCCGGCTCCGGCTACTGCGCAATCTTTGGCTCCGGCTCAGGCTCAGGAATCGACTCTGGTTCCTGAATCGACTCCGGCTCCGGTTGCCTCCCCTCCTAATCGTAAGTTTAGATCTAAAAACTTTTAGGTGGGCTTTAGATTATTAGTTGCAATTTATTTCCGAAAAAAAGTTGGAAGGAGAAAAAAGGTATATTTTTTGTGGGTTAAAGGGAAAAAAATTTAATTATAAAAAGGGGTTTTGAAATAAAATTTATTTTGTCTTTGTTTTGTATTTTCATTTATGAGTTTCCTGGTCTTGGTTTTCTCAGCTCGCACATGAGGATTCTCATTTTAACCATCTCCATGAAATTATTATGTCACTTGTTGTTTTAAAGCGGTAAAGCCTTGTGTTTTAGTTGAAGATGTTGGATATTTGATAAGATGACTGTGAAATGTGTTTATTCTTGAATAATGTGGTTTCATTGCTCATTTTCTGAAGAAATTGTGTGGATGCATATTTTAAGGCTTTTTTCACTGAGATCCTTCTTTTGGACGTACCCTTTGGGGTGTACTTAATAACTAAATTACTAAGTGATAAGCATGCCTTTCTTGATTCTGTATTGGCTGTATTAATTATGCTAATGATTGTTGAAACAATACCCCGTACTGATTTAAAGTCATTGTTGTTTAGGCATTGCAGGACCCTTGATGCACAAGAACCGGTTGCAAGAATATGCGCAAAGATCCGGTATACAACTCCCAGTTTATCAAACTGTCAGTGAAGGAGGATATTCTCATGCTCCACAGTTTAGGTCAACTGTATTTGTGGATGGTGAAACTTATACATCCCCTAACACCTTCTCTCATCGAAAAGCAGCTGAGCAGGATGCTGCCAAGTTTGCTTTAGAGAATATAGTAAAGAAAGTAAAGGATCAAGGATGTCCTCTCATTACTGGGGTATGTTACTCTCATTATCGGGGTATGTTACATAAGTTATATCAACTTCTATTGGGATGTCCTCTCATTATTGGGGTATTTTAGTTTTCCATTTTGGAGTGGCCAGTTGAATCGCTTCGTTTAGTGAAGTGGACAAGTCAAACCAACGTATAGGTGTTGGATAAAATTACAACTAATTTCTATGAAATGTAGTATGGGCACTTGGGTGGATAATTATGGGAGAATCTACCTTGCTCTTTTATTCATCCATCACAGCCGGGAGGCGGCGGTAACTTTATAAGAATTTTATATTTATTTTTGTTGATTTAAGGACTCTTTTAAACGTTCTTGTGGCTTTTTTTTTTTTTTTTTTTTTTTTGTTTAATTATTACTTTGAGCTGTCTTGACCTATTTTTTTATAGTCTACATGTGAAAACTTGTTCACCTTTTTGTAAATCTTCTTATATAAAATTATATCTTTATGTTTTCAATTGAAAAAAAAAATAAAATCCTTCATTTATTACAATGTATATAACATTTTGCTGGTGCTATACAATTTTGTCATCAAACTTCTACATACTTGCTAGTCTGAGAATTTTTTGCTTCTATGCTAGCTTCTACAAACATATAAACACATCATAGGAATTCAAAATTGTAAATGCATAATTATCCACATGTAAAACTGTGTCCTTGTTTCTAGGTTTCAAGAGGTGTTAAGCCCAACACCCTGCTTCTATGTTTACAAAATAGCACGAGTTTCCAATATTTTTTACCGCATTATATGTCCATGTTTTCCTTATCCTTTCTTGGTAATATCTGAGAAATGTTGTTCAGCAAAGTGTCAGTTTTCTCCCTTCTTGTCATATCTTTTGGGGGCTATAGTGCCACAACATTTGGGTTCAAGGCAGGTAACTGTTGCTGTATTTTCAAGGGGGTCAACTATTACTTTGGGGAACTTGATTCACATAATACGTAGTTCATTGTTTCTTTATTTGGATTTTCTATTTTTAACCTGGTGCTTTAACTCTCTAAGTCCGGTTAGAGGCAGGTAGCCAAACAAATTTTTGTATATTTATGCTAACTTATGTATGTCCATGTATGCTTATACATCACTTGCAAAATATATAAAATTATTATGTTTTTTAACTTTCTCTTTTTTCTTTAATCTACTGTTACAATGATATTGTATTTTTACTTAATAGGTTGTATCTATCAAAATTATGGAAAAGTGATTGAAAATTGTGAAACCCAGAATTGTTCCCATATTTTGTATCACATTTATGTTCTTCATGTCTCTCCCAAGTTCCATATGCCTTTTGCTTCTAATATATGTTGTGTTTTCTCTATTTATGAAATATCTGTTTATATTTTAAATTAATTGGAGGAAGGGCTTCTACTGGATTTTTTAGTGTCAACATATATGTCCAATCATTTAAATTTTATAGTAAGGTTAATAAAATACATTTCATTTATGAATTACAGGAATTGAAGAAGAAGCAATTTTTCGATATTTGTTTTAGTAATGCTTCAAATTTTGAAGTCAATATGACAAGGACAGATCTTACATATGAATATGATTGTTCTTATTATACTATGCTAATATGTTTCATTCTACTATCATATTTTCCAGCTTGAAAATGTTTTGATCTATATTTTTTGTTTACTTGTATTGTTTTGTTAAAATTGCATTTCTCATTAACTTTGACAATTTTGTTATTTTTGTTCTTATTGTCCAGGATACGATATTCTGCAAACTTATCTTGAATGAATTTGCAATGAAGAGGAATTTAGAAAAGCCTACTTATAGTACTGATCGGCCAGAAGGTTTGCTTCCGGTTTTTGTATCCTCTGTGGTTTTTGATGGTGCTACTTATACTGGAGAACCTGGTAAAAACAAGAAAGAAGCTGAACAATTGGCAGCACGAGCTGCTATCAGCTCACTATTGGGTATTTTTTTTTGTTCATTTTTTACAAATAATTTGCATTTTAAATTAATTATGAATTTTTCTGTTTTCGTTTCCATGATATGGATTAATTTAAGTTTTGATATAGGTAATTCTGGGTCTGCAACTTCACTTTCTGAGCTCATAAAGTCCAAAGGCAAACTATATGCCGCAATGCGTAAAATCAAGGAGGCTAATGATGGCCCTCAAGATATGGGGGTAAACACAAGACAGAATTCGGAAATTTCGGTCAATAATGTGGTTGAAGCTGCTACAACTGGTAATTTGCCAATGATTGCCACTCCAACGGCGGCAAGCTCAGGAATGCATCTGCCGCACCATCATTTTAGGATACCAAAACCAGAGCAATCCTTTGAAACAGTGAATTTTCCAATTCAATTTGTGCCTCCAGCTTTAGGACAGCCTTTGGGAGTTTCTTCAAGCTCTTCAAACAAGCGACGTAAAAACAAAAAGAAGGCTAACAAGAAATTATGCACAGATGCTCAGTAAGTCTTCATGTCTGATTTACGTTTTTTTTATGTTCTTGTGTCTTCTTTTGTGTTTTGATTTTCTTTACTTGTTAGGATTGAGTATTTATTATGGCATATTCTTACCTTCTATTGCTACAGTATAAAGTTGTGTATGTTTGCTGTTATTACTTTTTAGTTGCTTTACTTTGTCTTGTTTCATTTAGTTTTCCATTGCCACCCTCTCTTCCCAGTATTAAAATTTAAATAGAGACTTACAGCACTTTCCTTGGTGTGGTATGCTGTGTTTTCTTTTCGTCTGCCTCCACGGGGCATCATATCAATACCTTTGTGGAGTTTCTCTCTCTCTCTCTCTCTCTGTGGTTTCTTTTAACCTTTACTTTGTTTCTCTATTTTCTATAAAACACGACCAATGGATACTTTCTGTTTTTTCATCTTCACTGCCTCCTAATAATGTTTGGGTTCCCCTGAAATATTCCGCTCCAGTGAGATTTAAATTTTTCATCTGAAAAGACATTCTGATATGATTTTTGCACAGAGATTTAGCCGATTGTTGCTTGATGAGCTTACCCCATTTCTTTATTTTTCATGTGTAATTAACTTAACTCATTTTCCAACTCCAGTGGTTATGTTCAAGTCTTTTGTGCATAAACTTGATGTGCAACAGTTAGTAGTCCCCATTTTTCTTTTCCAATGTTCTGTTTATACAACTAAAAGGAGTTGGAAAAGATCCAGTTACTTCAGTTTATTATATTCTGCTCCTGCCACGGCCACAAATATTATTAATGGAACCACTGGTGTACTCTTAAGTGGCATCTCTCTCTCTTGCACAACACGCGCACACAGAGACAAATACATATGAACTTGTTTGCTTATATGTGTGCATGTAACAATTTCTGTAAGACTGGTTGATGCTAGTATTTGTTCTTCTATAGAGGCTTCACTTTGAAGTTCCATTTTTGAAAAAATTGCAGGTTGTTGAATGCTGATCAGGCTTCGAGTCGAGCCTCATCTTGTCCGGTAGCCCAGCCATTGAGTCAAGCTCCATCCTGTTCTGTAGCCCAGTGAACAGTCAAACTGCATTAAGTATGTATTTATTAGGTGTAGCTCAAATTTGAATCTTGGGTCTTCTTGAACTGTTGACTCTACCCTGTAAAAATACCCTTGGTATTGTGGCAGTGCTATATAGAAGATCGTTTACTAACCACCCTTGCTTTTTTTCTTAAAAGTAATCAAATTCAAATACATAAACATCTATCCTTTAAAGACAACAACTACAATTCTGGGAAGATTTCAATAATTGAATTCCATAGATTAAAAAAAAAAAAAATTGATTGGAGAGAGGAGAGACATTTGACTTAAGAATGAGCTCTATGACCCAAAACAAATGGGATAATTTTAATTCAATTAAGGAAAAGAATATACCAGATAATAACTAGTGCAAAAAATTGATTAAGGGGTGACTAAATAATTGGCTGGCCAGGTGGATTGTTTGGGTAGTTTATATTGATTGGGAGAATTTGAAGTTATTAAAAATAGAATTAAATAGAAGATAAGGCAAGGCAGATATAAAATAAAGATGGTAATAAGACCCTATGATCTGTAGCAATTAGACTTAAAACACATAATCTCCATGAGACAAGGGATTGCTTCTTTCAATGTCAGCGCAACAAAACATGTGGATGATGATCTTCATCGGGTTTACTAAAGACGTTCTTTATTTATTATCTTCGAAGGCGGTTAATGAAATAAAATTTGTTTAAATATATTTGTATAGCTCTATTATTATAACCTTTACTTTGTATTATTATTAAAAGTCAAAACATAATTAATTGCATATAACGAGTCATTTTAAGTTTGCCATGTTTTGAAACAAAAAAATACAAAAGTTCCTATGAAAATAATATGTTAACAAGGCTATAAGACGAAAACAACTTTTAGAAACAATCTCAAAATTAGTGTAAAATATATAGTCCCGATTTGTTATACTATTCTGAATCATTATTCTATTATTTTATTTAGGTTAAAAAATAAAATATGTATTTATTTACTTATTGCGTCAATCTAATCTCATATTACCTAACTCTAATTCAACTCAAAACATTTTTCTAACTCTATTCCCCTAAAAATATTTTTCTTTCTTTCCTTCATCTACCGATGTCTCTCCTTTTTTTCTCATTCCAATCTAAAAATTAATTCACCCAAGTCCATCACTGCCGGCCAGTAACCATTGTCAATTGTTGGCCACTGCCAGTCAACATGACTGAAACACCTGGTTGGTCGTCAGACACGTAGTCACATAGAGAGTTATGGATTCACTTGAACCCACTCAACTTTTTAAAGATTTCAAAAAAGTCTTCATGTTTTATAGATTTTATAATTTTAACGTCATTTAACTTCATGTTGAACCCACAAAATGAATTATTAATTAACATTTTTTTAACTTTTCTCTCTTCTTCGTTTCCTCTCATATTATATTTTTTCTTGGTTGGATATTCAAGAAAAATTACTCATTTGAATTACAAGATAAGACGACGCTTATTTTATTATTATTATTTTTTTTTTTTTTTACTTAAAATTCTTTTCTTTTAACTTTCTTAATTGATGAAAGATCATGAGTTATGAGTTTTTGTTAAGTTTAATAAATGAGTTTGAAATTGGAAGATTAAATTCCTAGATTTTTATCTGAGTTTTGATTTAATCTTAATTATGTTGAGGTATATGTTAACTAGTTGTTGTTTTAAGTTGGGTTTGATAAATTTTGGTTAATTATTAAGTTAGTTTTAAATGGTTTAAAGAATTGATGAAACCCTAAGTTGTAGATATTTGAGAATTTGGTTTAATTTCGATATATTGGTTAATTGTTTAATATTTAGAGCTGGATTTGATGAGTTTTCATGGATTTATAAGTTAATTCTATTGGGTTAATAGAAATTGTTTGAAAAACCCAATTAATGATTTGAATTTTGATAAATTTGTGTTGTTGTTGTTGTTGTTTTTTTTTTAAGTGTCGTTTTAATTGTATTGGTTAAATATAAGTATTGTATATATTTTATTGTAAAATTATCAATTTTGATATTTTGAACTCACTAACTCAGAATTCTGGCTACGTCCTTGCCAATCGTGGTCCCTGCCGATCGTGCGTCGATCTGACCATTAACAACGGCTAGAATCTAGATGTCAATGGCCAAATTCTAACCATAGATCTTCAGGAAGACAGAAATCTCGGTGAAGGCAAGGTTCTTTCCGAGACTAAATTAGTAGAGCAAGAAGCGGAACTACAGGGATGAAATGTTTAAGTGTTTCTTACGCCCAACAGCCCACTTGAGCAATTTGCCATTCTCCCATTGATTCCTATGAATATAGGAAACTTGTATTTCTCATTCACAAATTCATCTTTCTTTATGCTGCTCACTCTCAGTTTGGTCCTACTTCTGGTTCATTTGGTTACTAAAAAGGGAGGAGGAAACTTAGTCCTAAATGCTTGGCAATCCTTGGTAGAGCTTCTTTATGATTTCGTGCTGAACCTGCTAAACGAACAAATAAGGGGTCTTTCCGGAAATGTGAAACAAAAGTTTTTCCCTTGCATCTTTGTCACTTTTACTTTTTTTGTTATTTTCTAATCTTCTGGGTATGATCGGCACACGACCGGTCAGATTCTAGTCGTAGATCTATCCATTTATGGGGCGCACGACCAGCCAGATCTAACTGATAGTGCATCGTTTCGGTGATTGCCAGCTACATTCCGATGATGGTGGCTAGCTGTCCTCTTGGGTGGTTGAGGTGTTTTAATTAATTTTTAAACTTTTATTCTGAGGGTGTTTAGCTAGATTAACAAGTGTAGGAAGTTAAAAAAAAAAATCTAAATATTGTTAGAAAATGTACCAAACAACTATTCTGTCTTAAAAACCTTTTTAAAAAAATATACTAAACAACTATTCAGCATTTTATCAAAAACACATTTTAGAATAATTCGATTTAATTTAACTCAACTAACTTTAAACACTTTTTTAGAATAACATTTTTCAAATAATCTACCAAACATGCCTATAATTTTTAATTTGAAAACTATTTTTACATATTGTATATGTTTCTATAAACCTTTTTATTACTAAAATAATACAAATAATCCGATAGATGAAAATAATATCAAACTACCTGACAAAATTAGATTAAGTTATTTTAGTAATCTCTTAAACTACCTAACACTAATATTTAATCTCCATACCAACTTGAACTGAATTATGAAATGAAGCTAACAGGCTACTGAAAAAATGATATAATTCCAACCTCCAAGAGGGGAGTGTGTTTAAAGTTATTACACAGATATCTGAATGGAATAATTTTTTTGAAACTCATAATCATTTATTATTAATCTAAAATTAAACAATCCATTTGCAATTGGTGTTCAATTTCATGAATACAGCTTACGCGCCAGCATGGAATGTAACATAATAAAATAAAAATACAGTATGAAGATGAGTCCACGTGTTGAACAAGTGAAGAGGAAGCAACCTCCAAACTGGTCCAGCTTCTTCACAGTGAGATTGAGAGACTGTTCAATTCAATTTTGGAATCTCAAAGACGTGCAATGGCGAAAGATCCGGCGACCCTTCTGCTCTCTCTCTCTCTTTTTATCTTCTTCAATTTTCTTCCATTTTTATTCACCTCTGCCAGCTAACAATCCCAATACACATTAATTCATTAAATATAATAACTATTACTCCATGTTAATTAATTTTCACTTATAAAAATACCTAATATAGTACCCCCTTTGCATTGAATCTCTACTACATATAGGCCTCGGAAAGCTACAGTCTTCTCTCCATAGCTAGCCTTAGAGTAGCACAGAACTAAACTCATATTTCTCTTTGAAAAAATGGCAATTGCCTTCAAGGGAAATGTGATGGGGGATCTTTCTTCTCCAGGGCCTAACTATTTGTTTGATGATAAGGGAGATGGATCAGACAAGAAAAACATTGCTATCAGCAATAATTCTTCCTCTCCGAGCAGTGGAACTTCTAACGGGTTCGCCTTTCAGGCTGAAACTTATCAGCCTGATGAGTCTCATTCTTTAATAAATTTCTAGTCCGGGTATGATAATTTCATGCATGCTAATGCATCGTCTTTGCTCAGCTTTGAGCAAAGCGAGAGGTCCTCAATGTGGGAAGGTAACTTGAATAATAATACTACTAATCAATGGAATCCGATGAATCCGAAATACAGCACGTCTAATCCTCGCTTGATGGAGGATTTTAACTGCTTTGACACTGCTAGCAATTATGGCGTTTGGCTATACACTGATGCAACTACAGTCACTGATTGCATATTGGAGTCTGGTTCATCACAAGATGCAACCTCCTTTAAGCGTCCACATATGGTATTTTCCTTTTTCTTGCACGAACGTGACGATTTTGAAGTGAATTATGTGTTGATTATTGAAACCTTTTTTTCTCAGGGAGAGAGCACGCAAGCTTTGAAGAAGCAATGCACAAGTGTAACGTCCAAGAAGCCGAATAAGGCTAAATCAATTACATCAAAGGATCCGCAAAGTATTGCAGCCAAGGTTTGCTTTATTACATAATCCTGAAATGAACATAAACTTTGTTAATTAAACTCTAGAATTCAGTATTGAATGATTGTTTTTTTTCTTTCAGAATCGCAGGGAACGGATTAGCGAGCGACTCAAGACACTGCAGGAACTTGTTCCCAATGGCTCCAAAGTTGATTTGGTGACCATGTTGGAGAAAGCAATCAGTTACGTCAAGTTTCTTCAATTGCAAGTAAAGGTACAGCTTCAACCATGTTCTTAATTTTGTTAAATTTCCTTGCTGAAAGTCAATGAATAATATATATATAATTACTGAAGTTAAGGTTATTAATGAGAGTTATGGTTTATGAATATGTTACAGGTACTGGCAACAGATGAATTTTGGCCAGTTCAAGGTGGGAAAGCTCCTGATATTTCTCAAGTAAAGGAAGCCATTGATGCCATACTGTCATCTCAGAGAGACAAGAAATCAAGCTCAAAGCAATGAGTTGACATTAAGAAGATGAAGAGAATCATTAAATTACTTTAATATAGTCCAAGGACAACTCTGCAGGCAAAGAAAAGCTTTATTTTGGAAGTTACTAGTATTAAATTAAAAAAAAAAAATGTATCTGAGAGTAGATAATATTTTATCTTGCAATGGAATTTTTCTGCATTTTGATATGTAATGAAAACTGAGAATCTATCACCAGTACTTTGTATTTTTCTCTACTTTTAGAGTTAAAGATCCTTTATTAGATCTAAATCATCTGACAATTTGAGTATTTGATTCTTCACCAATAATTGAATAAATTACTGTTATATATCTTGGAAATTTCCGTTTTAATTACTTAGCAACATCCATCTCAAAAATTGAATATATTTCCAGTGACTCAAAAAACTCAATTATGGTCCAAAACCAGGCACATAGTTTCAGACTTAGAATTAAAGGAAAATTCTAGGAAACAGATTTTCTAAGTAGGCCATTTAATAATTAATATTAATATGTATAATTCAAAGATATATTGATTAAAAAATGTATAAAATAAGTAGTTTCAATGAAACAAGTATAGTTGGTAAAGAGTAATTTTTAATGAATCACGTAATGTATAGAAAACTAAATTTGTATAAGAAATTAAATCCAAAATTCCTTAGAGACATTCTTTTCTTGAAAAACACTTGAGGTAGCCTTGAATTAGTCATTCTATTAAGTTTAATTAGTTGGGTAATTAAGTGGTCTGAATGTGAAACATCCGTACAGGGTTCATCTTCATGGAGATGGCAACTGGATGAGGTAGCTATGTCGTGCTCATAGAAGTGAGTGGGGGACCATTAAGCACGTGTGGATTTTAATAAAGGATCACATGGCTAATCACATGCCAATTCCATACAAACCGCTGTATACATTCCCAAAGATCACCCAAATTTTACTTCATTCTAAAACATTAAAATTCATTCTTTTTCTTCTTAGCTTAAGCAATTTATTAACCGACCCGGAAACATAACCATTCTGTCAATGTTTGAATGTTTTTTTTTTTTTTTTGGATGATTTACTTGTGATAACTTTTTATATTTACAAGTATTGTACAAATAATCCAATTTTAAAATTAATTTGTTCAAGGTAGGCATACATTAATTTATGGCCTATGAGGTTGACATTTGCAATATAAGATGATTAAGCTTATAATTTTTTATTTTTTATTTTTAACTTTTTTTTTTGTATCTGTGCTTACCTCAACTAATCTCTTGAGATCCTGAAGTTAACGGTCAGATAAGTTTTCAATAACTATCCCTTTTTAGTAGTCGTAAGGATTCAAACTCATAACCTCTTAAGTAATACACCCAAGAGTCTAAGGCAAACCGTCAAACTACCTAGAGGTAGTTTGATTAAGCTTATAATTCATTCCAAATTTTTTGGTTAATTATGATGAGATGGGCTCATTTGGGTTATATATTAACCACCTTTCACATGGAGGTGTAACATTTTTTTATATCAAGGATTATTTAATTATTACACATCCAGCTTGCCTTAGTTTAGATTCGTTTTATTCAACTATATATTTTACTTGTTTTCAACTTTGCTTAGCTCGACTTATACATTTGATTTGTGTAATCTTTTGTTGCATGTATCTGTCTAGAATTCCATGCAAGCATTCACAATTAATACAACAAAGAGATGCCGGGTGATGTGGCCTGTAAACACCCAAAAGATCAATTCTTGTGTTTCCCTAACTGGGTACTCTTCATATTTATTATAAACAAACTAACAAGATAAGATCTTGTTTAAACTATATATACAAAATCATCAACTTGCAGTTAAATTATTTATAATCTAAACCCAACTTGTTACGATAAATGTGTTTTCCTTAATATAAATCAATTATTAACTCATCAAGGTAGCACCTGGATAAAGCCTCGGTGTGAAAGAAGAAATTACAGTAGCAACTAAATGAAGAATCTTGCAGAAGCTTTTTCCTAAATATTTTTGTTAAAAAAGAAGATTATGATCTAAATGAGAATTAAGACAAGCTGTTAAGGAAGAAATAGCACATGAAGTAGTTGAAGGCACGTAGGTTTAATATGAACAAGGAAGGAGCCATCAGTCATGTGAGCTTGGGGGGAATGGCAGGGTGGATTTTATCAACTAGTTTAATAAAACACATGCCATTAATTCATTCATTCATACTCATTAGTAAGCCCACGTGCGAGACAGATTTCTATGACAATTAATACAACGTAAAGTTAATTGGAATAATAGAATTTGGGTGGTTCGAAGGAACGAATTGAAGGTTGCCTGATCAAATTAAAATATGGACGTGGGAAACAAACTGGTATGGGGAACTTAGAGCTTACATTAATTATTGTTTTCAACTTATTTATAATTTCTCATGATAAATATTAAGAGGCACTACCCAAGTTCCAAGGAACTAAAATCCAAACAAATCTTACTTATAATTCGAAAAAAAAATACATATTTATTGCGTACTCCCCTTAAATTAAAAGGTCTTATACAAACACATACACATAATAAGAGATAAAAACAATGCTAAGGCCACCCTTTTAATTTGTTAAATATACGTTTCATTAAGAATTTTGAAGGTCATTATACAGTTTTAATTTCAAAACTAACTTCAATTTTCCACATTGTCTCATTTTGTACAGATTATCTTTCTTCATTCGATAAATGTGTTTTTAATACTAGTAGTTTTTAGAAATATTCTATTTTTCTTATATATATGTCTGTTTGGTAGATTATTTGAAAAATGTTATTCTCAAAAACTATTTTAAGTTAAGTTGAGTTGAGTTGGATTAAATCGAATTGGATCAGATTCTGAAAATAAGTTTGGTAAAATATCTAAAAAGTATATTCAAAATTTGATAAAATGTTGAATATTTGTTCGATATATTTTCTTAAAATATTTTAGATTTTTTTTAATCTCCTATATTTGTTAATTTAGCTAAATACCCCTCACAATAAAAGTTTAAAAATTAACTAAAATACCCCAACCATCCAAGAGGACAGCCTGGCCACTGGCCACCACCGTCGGACAACAATTGACAGTCATCGAAACCACGTACGACTGACTGGATATGGCCGATCGTGCACTGATATGGTCGTTTCCAACCTGAATCTGGCTGTCATTAACAACCAGATCTATCTGGCCGTTAACAACTCGATCTTACTAGAATCTGGTTGTAGATTTGATCGAAGACAACAAGATTGACGCACGGCCATCCAAATCTAATCGGTCGTGCATCGTTTCGACCACAGTGGCCAGCGACCAACGGTGGTTATTGGCAAACAATGGTGGTCTTAGGTGGATTAATTTTCAGATTGGAAATAATGAAATGTAATTGTTTTGAGTTGAATAGAGTTAGAAAAATATTTTGAATTGAATATAATAAGATAATAAAAAACGAGTCTCACCCACTTTTCATTTTGAGATAAACAAAAATCATACTTGAGTTAGAATAATTTTATGAATGAATTGGTCCAATATGTAAACAAACACGTATTTTGTTTTTTAATCCAAATAAGGTAACAGAAAATTGATTAAAAATAGTGTAACAATCAGGGGCATATATTTTATTGGTATTATTAGATATATAATTTTAGGTTATGATAAATTGATTCTATCAGCAGATATGTTTGTTGAATTAAAGCATTGAAGCCTAAATTGTTTAAAGCCAGGCCTTGTGACTTGGGCCTCACAATTCTGGCAAAAGTTCGGCCTTCAATGATGACAGATAACTTATTTTAATAAGTTAAAAACCCTAGTTTTCAAAATAGTAATTAATTTTATTAAACATTTACACTCCAAAGCTAATAATTTTATAAAAATATAAAAAGAAAGTAAAGCTTTATTTTATAATTTAGCAATTAGAAAATTACCATTTTGCATACAATACCAGTAATCAGTATGAAATTTTTATTGCTCTTTTGTAAACTTTTAATTATAAGAAGCACAAATAATGTTATATGTTAATCAAGTAGATTAGTGATTAATTAAGACTCTTGGGTGTATTATTTAATAGATCTTAAGTTCAATTCTTCTCGGTTTCTAATAAAAGTGGTCACACAAGCTCTTAACTGACTGATAATTTTAGGATCCCAAATTTATTTGTTAAAGTATATGTAAACTGATTTGTATACCTCAATCATTAAATAAAAAAAATAATGTTATATGTTATTCATTATATAATATTTTTTTTTCCGCTGAAAGAGTAGATGTAAGTCGGATAGATTAGGGGGTTGTGGTGGTCGTCCCTACTAGTGAGGGAAGCTCTGCGTCTAGCACCGCCCCTAGTAAAAGAACAGTGGGATGATGACAAAATTGATGGAGAAAGGTAGTTTGACTTTGGGGCCGTTTCGGCTGGACCAAAGCTTGGCCATGTCATGTTCCGTTTTGCACCTACCTAGCCCAGAAGTTTTGGGTCGGCTGCTGTCCACTCACTCTTGGAAGTTGGAATTCTTCAATAACGATTTCTTTTCTTTCCTTTTTTTTTTTTTTTAAATAATAATTTTATTGTTTTTCATAAGTTTTTTTTTTTTTTAAATAATAATTTTATTGTTTTTCATAAGTAATTTACTACTTTGCTTTTCTTTTTCTTTTTTAAATAAAATTTAAAAGTCCATATTTTATAATATTAAAAATTCCTTTAATACGGCATATCTAAATAGAATTTATTAAAGTAGAGCATTTGTGAAAATTTTGTTAGTTATTTAAATAAAAAAATGTAAAAAAGCTTTGAAGTCATAAATTATTAAAAGATGTTTTAATATAGAAGAAACAATATACCAAATTTATGAAATAATAGGGAGATATTTTTTTGGATTTCAACTCTTTAAACAAGTTTAAAAAGAGTTTATGGAAAAGGTTCAAATTAGAGCTTCTCTCATAAAGTAAATATTTTATTTAAAATTATATAAACTTTTTTGAGATTTAATCAAATCATTAAAAAAAAAAAAAAGAAGTTCAATTTAGTTAAGAGATAAGCCAGAAAAAAGGCTTTATTTGA